AGACGGCGACGCCGCTGAGAAAGCGTCAGGCGATTGGTTTCAAATCGCCAACTGCGATCTGCTACCTCACCAGCGACGACTGGGGAAATGAGGGGGAGGTGGAAGAGGATTACGGATCCTTGAGCGAGCCAGACGAAGTTGTATTTGACACAATTGGTGATGGAGGTTCGCGAATCCCTACCCCCAGGTGCACCCATGAGGTAAGCAGCGAGAGGGGCAGGGCAATGTCGCCACATGTTAGAGCGCAAGTCCCTGCCCCCAGGAGCACCCGAGAGGCAAGCGGCGCGAGGGGCAGGGCTTAGTCGTCATGTTTTGCTGATGCGGGTGCTGCCGACGAAGGTGGAGTTCCCGTGGCCCCCCCGAATGCCGCGGGCCCTCGGGCCGCTGCTGGCAGGAGGGGTGGAGAGCGCGCCGCTGCTGATGGGGCAGCATGGACGGGGCTCCAGTCGACTGGGGTGAAAGGGGGGAGGGGGGAGGGGGGGGAGGGGGAGGGGGGTCGTGCAGGTCTGGGCGGGGCGGGGGGCAGCTCTGGGAGCAACCCGCAGCCCCGCCCCCGAGCCAGGGGCAGCCGCGCGACCGCCCCATCGCGGAGGAAGAGGCGGAGCACCAGAATCGGACAGTACCCGAACGTCAGAGTGGGCCAGGTCATCAGCTTCTCACGATCACGGAGGAGCAGCAGGATCATCTGTGGGAGTCGCTGCAAGACGCAATCAGGGATGCCGAGATGCCGAGCTACGTGAATGACTCTTTCGCTTTCAGCCTGGACGACGCTGGGGCCTTGAAGGTAAGTTCAGCTTTTGCCAGATGGACATCGCGCATTGCAAGCTTTGTCTGCGATATGCTGGAAGTGCACCCCAAAGGCCAACGTCGATTTGAAGGCCGTGCCGATATGAGAGAGCTCCAAAAGCGACCTGAGGCCCAGGGTGCCCACTTTGTGTCTTCCAGGGATCCCGTGGCCCACTGGCGGGCTACCCTGTGCTTCTTACGGTCGGACCTGGTCGGTTTCCTTGGGGGCAGAACGAAGCGCAGGCCCAGCAGGTTTTTTGGTAGAATTAAGGACATGGCCTCGTCAACGCTAGTCACGTCACTTTTGCCACTCACAGATGGAAGTCGCTCGGAGTGGGTCCGAGGCCTGCGTGTTCTCAGGTGGGTTTCAGACCAGACTGTCAGAGATTTCGAAGCTAGGGCGAGGCAGAACTCTGCGCGGGCCCAACGCGCAGTTCTGAATAATACTCTCACGTGGGTCATGCAGCAGGGCCAGGCTGGAGGCCGTGGCCTGTGTAGCCGCATCAGGGGCAAGTCGGTGCATGTCGTGGAGGTTCGGGCTGGCGGGGAGACGGCGTTTGACCCCTGCCAGAGGATGGCTGTCAAGGCAAATATCCGGGCAGGCAAGTGGGCGGGAGACAGCTCTAGTTTTCTGAGGATTCGGGCCCTTTGGCGCAAGGCCCAGAGTTTGGCCAAGAGGAACCCGCGGCACCCGATGGAGGGGGGGCCGATAGGCTCCGCGGGATCATCTCGGCCATGCCTGAAAAGCTCCCAATGTGGATAGGCTGTCTAAGAAAGATTTCCAATGGTTGCCGCCATTGGGCCTGCAGCAGCGTGCTGATTTCTATGCGCTGGTTGAACAGGAAGTGCGTTGGCCCCAGCAGGCACTAGTGGTGCTAGTCACGCTCCAAGTCAAAGACCAAGACTCTGACCGAGCCAAAGGCCTGCTGGCCTGGATTGTCCGTTTCTGGGGGCGTCTGCGGACCTCGGACCGAGCTGGTTGGGCTGAGGAGCGAGCGGGGCCGTGGGGCACGGCCCTCGCGGGCTGTTATGTGCTGCAGGTTGCCCTTTTGAGATTGTTCAGAGATGAGCAAGCAGCGCGCTCTTTTCTACCTGATCATCAGAGTGCTAGCTTGCTCTGGGATGTCAAAAAGGTTTAGAAGAGTCTCCGCTGGGACCTGGTTCTGGACCACGCTTTGGAACTCGAGTTTCCTCCGTGCTGCCTGGCCCTGGAGCTCCAGGTCCATATGACCACCAGGTTTTTGTGGGAGGCATGAGGGTGTTCTATGGCTGCGCAGCCAGGCATGCCGCTCATTCCAGGCAGCAGTGGTGCAGTAGATTCGATCGCCACTCTGCTGGATGTCGGTTGGAAGCCTTGGGGACCCTGGGCCTGGGAAAGTGACCTGGGTGAGCGCTTTGCGATCTCAGAAACAAGCTTGGGCGAGGCAATGTTGACCTCTCTGATCTTTTCAAGGCCTTGGCCCAACGCAAGGAACGACAACTCTGGGAAGCCGCTGCGGCCAACTCGTGGAACGGGTCTGGCTTGGAGCGAGTACCAGACCTGTACGATTTCAAATTTCAGTTGAGGTCGCTAGCCAGGAAGGGCAAGCGCGAATGGAGAGGGATCCTGCGCGCTGTGGCTACTGGGAACAGTTGGCCACGCGCAAGGCTCCAAGAGTGCGGTCTCACCCAGGACAGCTCCTGTAAGAGATGTGGTGAGTTGGTGGAGCGTGACGTGCATCGAGCTTGGGGCTGGCCTAAACATGCAGGGTTTTCCAAGGTCTCAGACTTCGTGAGACGGCGGGACCTTGCGGACTGGGAGAATAATCACAACTTCTGGCTGCGAGGGCTGACGCCAAGCAGCTGGACCGCCGTGCCCCCTCCCACCAAAGGTGAGGATTTCCAGACCTACGGGGGGGACCTTAAGCAGGCTATGGTGGACGGCTTTGTCTTTGGAGGGCGACATGCCAGTGGGGGGCCTGACACTCAGGACCCCGCCATCCGTAGGGTGGCTGGGTCTTGGGTTGTGTTCAGGGGCCTCCGAACTGGTGGACAATATGACCCCAGAGAGCTCCAGGCCCACGCAGTCAATTTCCGCAATGTGCCTGGATGGCGCCAGTCGGTCAACAGGGAGGAAGCGATGAGTTTCCTGCACTTCTTGAAGGCTGTCCTCCCTGTTGCTGACAGCTTCTTTGTGACATGTTCTACTTACGCAGTGCAGAATTATGATAAAGTTCGCCTCGGATGTTTCCGAAGTCTCACCTAGATGCGTGGCAGCGTGTCGAAGAAATGTTGGCCGCACACCCATCCAGAGGAGTCGTGCTTGCCAAAGTAGAGAGCCACAGAAAATTAGAGGACATCAGCGGCCTGGGTACCGATCCCTTGCTTTTCTGTTGAATGATACGGCTGACCGTATAGCGAACCAATGGGCAGGTACTATTCGCATGTCTGCTGCTGCTAGAGACAGCAGGTCCCATGCCCAGGCGATAGCTTTCCAAGTTCGCCAGCACCTGGGTCACAGTTTGCTTGTGTCGATCGAAGCAGACGGGAACTGTGTGCCCAGAGAGGCGGTTTGGAGACCAAAGATGCGTGAGATCAAGATACAACTGCTGCTGCCCGCTCACCAGCCAGTGTGGGGGATAGGTTCCCAGGTCCGCCGTCATTGCTGTGGAGGTTGTGCGCCATACATGTTGGCGGACAAGTTTTTAGCGAGCCCATGCCACCAGGGCTTGCTTAATGTGATGATTATGGTGCCCACTAAGAGCACAGTCAATGGCACGGATTTACACAGCTCTCACACCTTGGCCTATCACAAGGAGTTTGGGAGCACAGTTTGTCTGTCCTGTGGCTGCGTGGCCACCCAAGCTGTCAGGAAGTTAGCGAGACTTTGTACTTCCCAGCTGGATCGATATGGCAGCCGTCAGTTGAGGGAAGTGCAGCAAGGACTGCCACATGGTTCCTCCAAGCTTGCCCAGATGCAAAGGGCCCAGAAGAGGGTCTTGCGTTAACTGTTCAACTCTGCCTAAGGCTGGAAAGAACAAAACACTGTCTCTCCCTCCCCCCCCCTGGTCCCCCCTCGCCCTCCTGACACCACTCGCCGGCACCATGGGCCGCCGCAGAGGGGCTCGAGAGCTGGCACCCGCCCGCAATTCCCCCACTCTTCCTCCGCCTTCTTCCCTCGCAGGCACCCTCTGCCTACTTCCTGCCACGCCGTTACCTGCGCGCTGCTCGACACACGCGAGGCCGACTGGTGTCTAGGCGGCGCCCGAAGGTGCAATCGGCTTGTCAGGGCCGATCTCCAGACATCTAGGGGGGTCCGACACTCACTGGCCACCGTGGCCGGCATAATGCCAACGGGCCGTTCTGCTAAATCATGGACGCGCCTGAAAAGAACAAGTGCTGAAGAGAACGACGCCACTGAGGAGGGAGGAGGGAACAGTATCAGGAGGGCAAGGCGGAAGGAGTAGGAAGATGGAAAACGAGAATGCGAATGACGACTACAACGGGCGAACGATCGAGGAAATCAACTCCCCGTCCAGGCTGATTTCTTTGCCCCGAGAAGGCGGAGGCTGGGGCCTGGGATTCACCGCCCACTAGGTCCGTAACGCCGTTGCCCCGTCCCCCGAAATTATCATCAGAGTAAGCGGGCCAAGCGGTCTTATCTTATCTATGGTCAGGCGTGGCTGGACGGCATGGCTCTCCTGTGGACCAGACATGGGGACCCAAATAAGCGGACCGTACTCGGGGCTTTCACGCTGGAGCCATACATTGGGGCCGTGCATGGGGGCCACACGTGGGACCACATATGAGGGCCAGCCGCACATGGGGCCCGTGCTGTAGAATTCACCTTCGCTGCCTCCTCCTTACAGCTCCGAGTGAGGGGTCCTGTGCAGACCCCATCCACGACCCGCCCGCTTGGCGGTCTTCAGCACAGCTCCCATCAACCCTTTCAGCTGCGAAGGTCAGGACACCTTAGCCCCGAACTGCCCATTCGGCAGCACTGGTGCACCTTGAGGGCAGCCTCCTGTGCCAAGTGCCGTGCCCGACCCGCCCCCCCCAGCTGCCCTCGCACCCGCTGCGCGTGCACACGATCACGGCTTTAACGGCGCGCCTCACGACGTGCGGCGCCAAGGCCCAGGGGGCCCTGGCGGTGCCAAAGCGCAGCAGCGCCGGCCCGAGAACGCCCAGCTGCGCATGAGTTCGCTCCGACCGGCGTGGGCAGCTGAGGCCCGCGCCCCAGGCGGCGGTGCCTTCGCAGGTCGCGCTGGGGGCCGCGGCTCTGGCGGCGCTGGGTTGGAGCCGAAGAGGCCATCCTTGGCACCAAGGTCCCTGCGAGCCTTCAAGCGCCCCTCCGCGGTCCTCCCGGCGCTGGGGGGGGGGCGATCAGCCTCGGGCTCGACCGGGCTGCTCCAGGCAGGGCGGGGGACCTGGCTTGCTGCTGCTGGTGGTGATCCTTTCTGGCTGCGCTGCGTTCCAGCCTGGTCCCGACAGTGCGCATTCCAATCTTCCTCAGGACCAGTGACGATCGGCAGAACTTGCTCTCTTGAGGCGAAGATTCGGCAGCAGCGCCGCATGTCCCGCCTTCCCCTGCCCCAAAGTACGGCCCATGCCAGGGCAACGAAAACATCAAATTACAAGAGTGATGGGCACATATTCAAGACATCAAACGGAAACGAAAACAGACTGTGTGAATAGGATACCGGCGATCGGCTCAAGCGAAGGGTTTGAATGTCTACAAAAACTCGATCGAAATCCATAGCTCACGGCTCAAGCTATCTGCTGAGCTGGCCCCACATGTGCTGCGTACATACTCTAGACTGTACAGCTCGTCGAACCCTTGTCCCTCTGAATATACATGGGCCTGCTGTACCTGCTACAATTCGTTTCCCGCTGCCTCTCAATATCACCCTGAAATTTCACCTGAACAAAATTATAAATGAAGTCCAAACTGTGAGTGTTCCAAGCATCCATCTCCCCTCCACCGTTCAGGCTTTGCGCTCTTTTTTCGGCGTGGTTCGCGGAGTGCGCAATAAACTTTCCAATGCGGCATGCGGGCCCACACCGAAGTGACACAAACGAACTGATATCGGATATACCTCCTTGGAACATTAGGAAAAAACACGGGAGCGGGTTCGCGCATTCCGGCAACGTTAGCGGGTTCAAGAGCACCAGAGACTCAAGATGGTCCAGAAGGGATCCGGAGGCCTGATGGTGGCACTCAAGGAGGTCTGAAAGAGCTGCGGACAGACTCCAGACGCCCAACTATTTGTCAAAACGGCTGCATGACGGACCACGACAGCTCATGGTGCCCCAACAACGGCGCTCCGAGTTCTGATTGCTCCGCTCTGTCGCCCATGTCCAACGCGGATTGCTCCAAATGGGAGTCTGACAACACCAAACAGACCCCTAGGTCGCCAAAGCATGCGTCCAGGCGGCCCAGTGAAGTCTCCTCAAGGTAGAGCACGGATGCTCCGAAACCGTCTCAAGATTGCCCACAGACGCCCTATACAGGTCAAACTACACCCAGAGAGCGCATCTGAACAGGTACGCTGCAGCAGGTGCGCCCAACAAAGGACAAACAACAGCGGCGAGTATGCAAATGCATCCCTGGGGGGCCGACCGCGACCGCACCAGAGCCTACCGTGCTGTTCAGAAGCCTCGCAATGGATTGCCACTTGGCCTGGCTCCTCCCCCACCGCCCCTCAGCGGGCGAAGGCGACGAGAACCAGGACGAGAGGGTCAGTGGAACAGGTGTAAGAACAGAAGGAATGATGAGGAGGAGAGGGATCAGGAGGAGAAGGAGGAGGAGGAGGAGGAGGAGGAGGAGGAGGAGGAGGGGAGGGGGAGAACGTTGAAGGCCACAGCAAAGGGAAAGAGAGGAGCAGGAAACATAACATTAAGCTGTTAGGGGGCGACTCCATTGACATGCAGGGAAAATGGGGCAGCGAGCCCAGCCTGGCTGGGGGGCAGCTGGGTCGGGGCGGGGCTCTCATGCCCCAGCTCTCGCCGACGCAGCTGCAGCCTTCGCGGTCCGTGCAACCTGCCCGAACTGGCACGCTTCCGTCCACGAAAGCCCATAAAACTTCAACCTACGGTCGGCATCCATCCTTCGGGCCAGCTCAGGAGCGGAGCCGAGGAAGAGTCGGGGCCAGGAAGGGACGGGACCAAGACACTGGACCATTCCTGACGGACGCCGGCCGAGGGAGTCGACATGTTTCTGAGCACGCTGTGGACCCCGTATCTGGGCAACCTCCCACACAGAAACCTGACGACCGAATTGCAATGCCCTTTGCTGGGCCTCCCGTCGCACGGCTTGTGGGTCCCTCCACGAGCTGGGGACATGTTAGAACCCCTCGCATAGGACCCGCAGGCTGCACAGAACAGGTGGGTGTCCTGGCTGTCGGGCCCCCGGGAAACTTCAGCATGGAGCAAGCCATAGCCCCTGAAATGACAAACTTCACGTGCGGCCTCCTGGGGCTCGGCTCCTACTAGACGGTCAGCATGCTGGTTCCCTTTCAACTGCTGCTCAGTCAATCGACCTTCTCGGACCGCCTTCGTGCTTTGATGGGAGTCTACCTTCATGAACCTGACGTCCTCGAGAGCCTCCGAAACCTCAGAACACCAATGATACCTGGCATGATTCTTACAGCACGATGTCGGGATACGGTTGCCGACAGACACGGCGGCTTTGCAGTCGGCGAAATACAGGACCCCTTGGTCGATGACTGCGAGGCTGCCAAGCTGCCTGATGGCGAAGTCCTCACCATCTCGAGACGCTTGGTCGGGGGCCGTATCCAGGGGAACCACGCAATATAGGCCACGCAGGAGGTCTCGTTTTTTTCGTCGACACCGACAACACGCCAGCTTGCCATGCGCAGCTCGGGTTAGCTTCGCAACAGGGGCCGCCCGTGCAAACCGCGCAGCCCTCCTTGACTGCCGGTAGCCCATCCTGGGGTCAATTGATCTCCTGGATGCGCGCCGAAGAAGGACCGCGGCTAGGACGCCCGAGCCACGCGCCTGGGTCAGGAAACAGGCCCCTCGCGAACAGCCCCCCTCCTGTTCCGGTCTGCCTAGCACCCTCCTGGTCGAGCGGTTGATGCTGGGCTCCAAGTGGCCCCTCCTCCAAATCGAAAACGCAGGACAGCAACACCTCCGATGATACAGGGTGCCCCGAGCTTCCCAACAAAATTTGCACCTCGAACCTACGTCCTCTCCCCCATGTTGCTGAAGCCTGGCCTGGGCCGAGTAGACGTTACGCACGATTCCTTTCAACGTTTGGGCATGGTGGCGCGTCCAGTTCCCCGAGGGCCTCCGAGACAGCAAGGAGCGAGTCGGCGCCCAGTGGATGGGTGCCTTCCAGGCCGAGAAATCTGACTGGTGGTCCTGATCCTCCCTGACCGTCGCCCGCCTGCGTCCTTCTCGCACCTGGAGAAAGAAGAACTGGGGGGGAAATGCAGGAAGTCCCAGGGCCCCCTCAAGTCGTCCTTGATTTCCTTCCGGGGGGAATCCAGGACCCACCCGATGCGCCTCAGGGGCGCCACCGGCGCCGCCAGCGGCGGCTTGACGGCGCCCCAGGGGGGCGTCGCACCCAGGGTCGCCAAGCCATCCAGGCAGCGCGCCTCCAAGACCTCCCAAGAGACCCGCCGATTCCAGAGGACATTCACGAAGTCCTTCAACGCCCGGCCTGCGGAGATCTCGAACGGGGCGGAACAAGAGCAAGAGGAACTCGAAACCCGAGGCGGCGCCCGGGCGCAACGGCCCTGCAGCCTTGGCCGCCTGAAAACGGAGCTTCCTCAGAGTGGCACACGCGAGCCCCGCCACTGCGGCGCCCCGCGTGGCCTCGGCCAAGGGGCTGGCGCGAAATACCCTCGCCACCACAGAGCCAGTAACTATCCATCTTGAAAAGCTTCCCCGTTGCTTTTCTCGCGTCAGCCTGCCTCTGGGCCGATGTGGGGGCCCTTCTGGAACGCCGATTAGTCGAGTCCCCATCCGAGGCCCCCGCGCGAGATCACGCGGCGGCCCTGGCCCAGGTCCCGCCGCGGATCCTCGAAGGGCGCCTGCAGGGCCTCAGCGGCGGAGGTCATATACGTCGTTTTCTCCAAACTGATCGGGAGGGGGGCCGTCTGCGTGTGCTTGCGGGCCTTCTTGCAGGCCTCGATGGAGTGCCTGACAGAAGGCTGGGGCCCGCCTATCACGCGGGGCGCGAGGTCATCGACGAGGTCGATGCTTCTGCAGGGCGGGATAGCCAAGGCAATCTCACGCAGGACCGACAACGTCATGAGCTTGGCAGTCCCCGCGGCATAACTGCAGCCTGCAACGATCGTTCCGTCGGCCTCCGTGGGGCCACTCACCGAGGCTCCCCACCTGGCGCGCCATGGCCACCGATGCGTGACGCAAGGCCATCGACAAACTTGCGTTGAACGAGAAATTGGCTGCCGATATCCGTAGCTGCTCATGGGGGACATTCTCATGACATTTGACGGTGACACAAAACGTAGATATTGAGGTGAGGCCATTCTCCCTGTCATAACATGCAAGCATGTTGTGGATGTAACTGGCTCTGCGCGCCGCTGCCTGTGAGTCCTTCCCCCAGAACCAATAAACATCCATGCCCATAGGGGGATCGGAGAGGGCTATGGGCGCGCGTTGTCGGATGGGGGTCCCCGCTCGAACGGGAGCGTTCCCCAGGGTCCGACAACCCGCGCCCATGACCATAGCCAGTCCTCCTCCCAACGACCCCCCTATGGGTATGGGTGCGCGTTGTCCGTTCGTCAATATTTTCTCATTTCCGCGCCTTCCGCTGGCGAGTCCTGCTCCAGGTGCGCGCCAGCGTGCTCATCAGGCCGATGGGTCGCGCGCCCCCTGGCGGCTTCGGGGGAAAAGCGTCAATGATCGCCCATCGAGGGCGAGGGGTCGCCCCTGGCTGCCTCTCCCACGCGTTGAACGCGTCAACCGCTCGCTGCGTGATCTCGCGCGGCATCTGCACAAAAGGAGCGAGGGCGCACGGCGCCCCATCCTGGCGCTGCGGGCCCGGGGAAGGAATGGAGCACCGCCGGGAAGTCTTCCATCGCGATGGGCGGCAGGTCGCATTCCACTCGCCAGGACTCAGTGCGCGCCCGCCCTGCTCGAGCCCCCGCGTGCCACTGCGCATTCCAATCCCCAAGTGTCTGCTAGGCTGCGCCCCCAGAGTTGAGCGGCAGGTCCTCGCGCAGGATCGGCTTGTCCCCGCCCATCTTCGGCTTGATGGAACGCCTTCCACTCCTTGTGTCGCTCCTTCGGATCTCTGCGCGCGCAGGCCTCCACCTCGAGGTCGAAGAGCTCCTTGATCTGGTGGTAGAACGACGGCTTGGCCCTGTCGATCTCCAACCGCCTCATCGTGCCCTCGTTTTCCCGGGCGCCCGTGGAGGCAAGGGGGTCAGGCAGCTGGGCGGCCAGACATTCCCCATCCAACTCCGCTCGATGACGCGCGCTAAGCTGCTTGCGCTTCAGGGGGGCGCTGCAGACGCAGAGCCGCTGCAATTTCTAGGCAATCGATTTCCAAGCCGAAGTGTCCGGGGCGTCTTGGCACTCCGTGAGCAGCTGGAACTTGCCGAGTAAATTGGCTCGGCGCCGCTCGAAACCTCTGGCTCGACCTCGGCCTTCTTCTTCGGGAGGTCAACAACGCGCCGATTGCCTTCTCCCCCATGGTGCTGCGCCACTTGCGAAACGCCCGGTCGAGGCCGTTGATCTGCGAGTCTGGTTCCTAAGGCATCTCTACCAACTTGATCGGCTTCGGGGTCGCCTCGTCGCCGGTCGGCTAGATCTCCCGCGGGAAGGCCTCGGGGCTGACCTGCTCCTGGACACGCGGCCCCCCGCGCAGCCCATCGGAGGGCGCCTCGACAGGGGCGCGCGAGCCCAGCGGAGCATTAGCTACATCCCGAACCTGCGAGGGAAACATCTCAAGGTCTGGGGTAGACGAACAAGTCGCACTCAATCTCGCTGCGTGCGCCCAGTCCTGACGCGAAGGCCACTGCCTGCACGCCCGAGGGAACCTGCGCCCGCGATAGCTTCGCGCGAGACATTCCAATCGCCACCAAGGGTGAAGGGGGAAAGGCGGAGCATTCAGATTGCTGGTCATGTACTTGGGCACCTGCTCTTTCTCTCCGTCGATGCCGAGCCCGCGCGCCGAATGGACTGAACCAACCACTATCGCAGATCCCTTCCCCAGATTGAGCTGCATCAGGGTCGCTGTGTTGAAACTGCTTAGGTGCTTGTCCAATGGCCCTAGCTCCAATGGCTTGCGCGGCCACGACGGCAACCCCTCCAGACACTCCCTTAACGCGGTCAGTGGCCCTCAAGGGCATGCCGACCACCATAGAGAGAGAACCGCCTCGGCACCATTGGCAAGCTGACTGGGTAGCACTGACGTGCATAAAACGCACCACATAGGGAAGCTCGTTGCTGCTCGGATTCCAGCGCGGCACCTCTTGGGTCGAGTGCCAAGTGTTGTCGTTTGGAGCGGCCATCCGATGATCCGTCCTCATGCGGGTGACGGGGAGCCCTGCGCTGACGGCTGCCAGCAGGGCGAGCGCCAGCAACACCTGTCGCACCCCCTTTGCCGCTCCGCCCCGAGCCAGCCTTGCGTTCTTGCGATGGGAACGTGGGGGCCGCCTCCAGCTCGTCAGCGAGTCGTTGGCTGTCAGCTGCAACTGTGTCTGCCTCTGCCGCAGGGTCCGTGCGACGAACAAGATGATGAGGGCGATCGCAGACAGCAGGCCCCATGGAGTCGACTGAGACGTTCGCACGCACAGGAACGGGAAAGGCCTCCGTTTACCCGTGGGTGCGAGCGTCGGTGCGGCTGATGTCTGCCAGGCCACAAGTGGCCTTGCCTGCCGCGGGCTAGCGGTATCCACTTGTTGCACTGAGGAACTCATCATCTTGAGCCAAAATGGCTACGGGCAAGAAGGAAGAGGAGGAGGAGGAGGAGGAGGAGGAGGAGGAGGAGGAACGACCATACCAAAAAGGGAAGAGACGAGGGCAAGCGGGCAAGACGCGAGAAGAGGGCAAGTGATCCCGCTCCTGTTCGTCTCAGGCTACGGCCTCATCGCGTGCAGTGCAGCGGCTCGGCAGTCAGTGCCAGTGGTGTAAAGAAGTGCGGCGCGAGGCGCGGCGAGCGTGATGATACGAAGTTTGTTGTAAAACTGAAATGAAAATGCTGTCCGACGGACTGCCTCAGGAATAGCGTGCTCAGGGGTAGCGTGTTGCCCAAGCGTCCCTAGGCCGATGCGAACGAGGGGGTCCGAGGAGAGGAAGGAACGAGGTAACGCGAGGAAGTGAAGGAGGCGGGGGAAGGTGAGGTAATGGCCGAGACGATCTGGGCAAGCATCGCACCCGAGCAGACAGGTGCGGCGCGGGCCGAAGGGGAAGCGGTGGCTGGTACACCACGCTCCCGCCAGCGTCTTATATACGGCCCAGCGAATGGCTGGGACCTTCTTCGAGAGATGACTGGTTAATTCCTGCCAGCGGTCGGACATATTCAGTGGCATTACGAGATCGGGTAGCGCCGAAGAGAGACGGCGTGCCAAAGTCTCAGCGAACTTGTCGGGGAAGAGGGAGGAATGAAGGACCGAAGCGAGAGGAGGAGGAAGAGGAGGAGGAAGAGGAGGAAGTCCCCCGCTCCTCACCAGCTGGCCCGCCAGCTGCATCTCCAGCCGCGAGACCAGCTCTGCATTGCCGACCTCGCCCTGGGCGTACTCCACGTCGGCCCAGACGTTTCGCATCAGAGCGTCGCGATCCTCAACGGCGTCCGCGGCCTCTCAGTCTGGCCGCGGGCGGGAGGGAGGAGGACGAAGGATGCTTGTTGGGTTTCGACGCCGATTAAGCCCTGGGCCTGACAGCAGAGGCCGGCACGCAACTCGCATACGATCACTGCTATAGCAACTCTGCTGGGCCACTCAGGTCAAATAAAACAGGCAGACAGTACCGGCTCGCAGTGCAGTGAACTGCGCTTTTGCGCAGCCGACCTGCGCGGTCCTTCGTGCTGCCTGACTGGGAGAGTCATACTCACCCCAACACGGCGAGAACGAGGCGACGGCGGAAGCAGGCCGGCTATGAGTGCGCTCTGCGAGAGGGCAGGAAGGATCATCGTGGCTCTCGGTGCTTGTCTAGGGGGGCAAGCAATACACAGGCTGAGGTAGACAAACTAGCATGTCGCAGTGCGGTGCAAGAGGCCCAAACGGTGCGCCTGCCACAGAAAATTGGATACCTGGGTGGGCAAATTATCTTTTCACTTTTGCACGGCAAGCGGTAGGGCGACAAACAACGGCGGTAATCTGCGCGCTGCGGGAGGAGGCAGACGGACATTTGCAGATAAAACGGTGAGGCACCAATCCTGTTGGACTGTAGCGCCGACGGCGAACGTCTGCTGCTTGGTCTGGGCGGGCGCCGGACCACATGGCTATGTGCGACGAAGCCGCCAGCGGACAGCTTTGACCATAAACACCGCCAAACTGTCTCTACAGCTGTCTCTACAGCTGTCTCTACCTTACCCTGTTCCCCCCAGGGGACCTGGGATCAGCCAGACCGCCGTCAGACCCGCCTGGCACACCGCCAGACTGCCTTGCAGACCAGGGCGCTGCACGCTAGGACACATGTCGCTTGAGCTGAAAACAATTGAACACAAGGGAGCTACACCGTGCATGTCTGGCAATAACTTGGCAGAAAACAAAGAGGGCAACGGTAGCAGTCCTGATGACTCATTCGCCGTGGTCCCTTCCCCGCCGGCGGAAATAGCTTCCAGGGAGAATACGCGTGTAATCAGCCAGCCCTCTGAATCTAGGCCAGTTCTCTTCCCCCTTGCCACGGCACGAAGCGAAACGACGGCGGACAAACAGCGGCGATCTGCACTCGCAGGGAGCGGCGGGACCAGTGCGGCACTAATCCCGACTAGACTGCAGCGCCGACGGCGAACGCCTGCTGCTAGGTTTGGACCGGCACGGGACCACATGGCTGCGTGCGACGAGGCAGCCAACGGAAATCCTTGACAATGAAGACCGCCACGCTGTCTCTATAGCTGTCTCCCCCATGCAAGCGGAGACATACACTGCTGTTGACAGTTCGCTGCGTACCTGAGTGGGGAATTAGATTCGCCCTGCGCACGCGCGGCAAGCCACGTCGGCTATCTGCGCACTAAACTGACTGTCGAATACATGTAACTCGCAAGGCGGGTGAAAAGTAACTCGCGCTCCGCCCCGCCCCCATCTGTCCCCCGCCCCACAAGGGAGCGACTTTAACCGTCAAATAAAAGTAAGCCGCGATGAACTACCCTCAGTTAAAGGCCAATTGACATTCAATGACGGCCAATTCAATGTCACTGATTCCTTTGCTGGCTACTGACGGTCAAGTGCCTTTAACAGACCGCGGCGAATTACTTTAAACTGACCTCCGTCTGACCGCCAATTGAAGGTAACTCACCGCCAGCCAGTTGAAGGTAGCTCGCCGTGAGTTACCTGTAACCGACGGTCAATTAAAAGGTAACTCACCCGGCGATTTAGGCTCGGACGCCGCCCTGCCCCCCACTTCGTCCCCAGACCCCCATCCAGTGACGAATTTGTCACGGCGCGTCCCCTCGCCATGATAACAGGGGGGCACAATCACGACCACAAAAAATCACTGCATGAAAATATGAAGTGTCGTCTAGGTATGCCAAGCGCGGCCAAACAATTCTACTGGCGATCACGGTACGCCAGCAAACGGGGCATTGACTGTGAGCGGAAAAGACATGTACATACAAGTGGGTGGCACTTCCAATGAAGGCGAGCGGGAGTTTAAATGCAAGCGGGCGGGGCATCAAATGTAAGCGGGCGCGGCATTAAATGTAGCACTGCGCGGATGCGGGGCGGCATGTTTTCAAAATGGGGGTCTCGCTCTAGATTTGCTCGAACTTCTCGAATCCATATGTAAACTTGCGCAACACATTCATTGGTTGGGCGGCGGTCCTTCTACGCAACGGGGATGCCACTGGGCAACTCTATGAATTGTATGACCATACTTGTTTCGCAAATAGGACTACGCAGCAGAAACATGCAAGGCAACCCCTCGTCAAAACAGGGCCTCGCCAAAATGGCAAAACCCACTGAGCTGGTCTTTCAAGGGGGCGTTTCTGGCAGTGACAGGGGGGGACTTCTGGGGACGCATGAAGAGGGGGCTTGGCACGGGAGGGCACATTGCAACATCGCTGTTGAATACTGGGTTTCCTCTAGTCCTCCTCATCCTCCGCCTTGCCCATCCCTCTTCCTGATAAACTGTTCCTCCCTGTCGCACCGACATGCGTGTCGCTAGGGCGGGCTAAGCGTTTCGCCTGTAACCATGTTTCACTATATGACATCAAAACTTGGAAATCTCCAGCAACACAAGTGGTGTTCAAAAATGGGCTCAAATATTGGCGCCGAGCCACTCGTCTTCAAGCAACAATAAATACACCGATGGAGGGCTGTACGTGTTCAGAATAGTGGTGTCGGTTGCGCACGCTTGGCTTCAAATATCAGCCAACGTTGACCCCAAATAGATAAGCCGACTCAAACCACGGAATCCGAGAAATCGAACATGCTTGAAGTCCACAACTCAGCAAACACGCGAACGTGCAAGCAAGCATACACAAGGGGGCGCCATTGGAAACAAAGGGGGGGGGAAGGGGGGGGGCATTGGAAATAAGGGGGTGCCATTGGAAAAAAGGAGGGGGGGGGGGGGGGGGGGCGAAAGACAAATTACTTATGATGAGCTAGGACTCCTGTAGGACAAGCCTATTTTGAGAAAAAGCAGCAGCCACATGCATGGATGCCGATCCTTTTTTTCCAACCCCTCCTGTGTCCGGTGGCCGTTTCAGGTAGAACAATGTGGTTTCCTTCCTCCTCCTCCTCCTCCTCCTTCTCCTCCTCTTCCTGCTTCGTGGGATAATGGAGACACCTGGGAGCTCGCGGCCCCTCGCGCGCCCCGCGCCGCGCGGGGGCGGGGCTGGAGACCGCGGGGAAGTCTCCCAGGTGGGTCGCTGGAGGATGCGATCACCCATGCGCCACATGTACTTCAATTTCGTTATGGTCAGCGTGTGCGGCGGGCGCTGGGGGCCGCGTCGAGTGCGCCGCGATCTTCGAAGCCTTCTTTGTCTCAGTCAAAGGCCGCGCGGCCAGTCGCGCACGGAGGGCTCGCCAGGCCCTGCCACTCGGAGGTGCATTTGTGCGACTGCGCCGACGGAGTGGAGCTGAAGGACGCCAATGAGCCTCTGGGGTCGCGCTCCGTGCCTGGGGGTTCCACTCCGCCCTGGCCGTCGAGTCCACATTATCATTATGCCGCCGCCTCGGCGTCGTCGGCAGCGGCCTCGCTGCGGCGGGCAGCGGCCGGCGCGCCGCCCAGCCAAACCGAAGGCGCCAACGAAGCTCGCGCTGGCCACCTACAACGGCAACGCGTGGTCGACGGAATGGCTCGTGCATGGCAGAGGCTACCAGGCGGATGTCTCTTCCTCCTGGGGCACAGGCTCCTCTTCGGAGCGCAGCCCAAGCGGGCCCAGTCCTGGGCCCCGGCGCGCGGCCACAGTCTCCTCGCCACTGGCTGCGAGATCACGGGCGAGGGCCGCGCTGCCACGCCCAGCCGAGTCGGCGTCGCCAGCTCGACTGCGGCGGCTAGCGCCTACGAGCCGAAGCAGGAGCACTGCAAGTCCAGGCTGTTCTTCCAGCGCGTTATGTTCGGCAACATGCAGGAGCTGTTCGCTTCCATCTACGGCATCTGCAGCGTGGGCCAGGCGGGCAATGCTGAGCTGGTCGCCTCGATTCTTCAGGTGTTTTGGTCCTCGCGCTCGCCATTCATCGTCGCAGGCGTTTGGAACATCGAGTCGGAGCGCTTCGGTCGCGACATCTTTTTGCGAGCAAGTTTCCTCGGCCACTTGCGCGCTGAGGCGGTGCGCGGTGGCGTTTTCACATGCGGTGACTCCTGCTACGATCTCTTCGTTCTGAGCGACGCCCTCCTATCCTTCGCGAAGTCGGCGGGCGCTGTCCAGGACGCACCTGCGGGCCCGCGCCGTGGAGTCGCACTTCGGTTGGCAGGCCTGGGGGGGGGTGCAACATCGTCCGCGTCTAGCAGGAGAGTTTCCAAGTGCCTGCCTTCTATGTCAGGGGACGTCTCGCAGCTTGAGAGGGCCCTACTGTCCTCCGGCGTCACCTTCACAGATTTCCGACTCTGGGTCGGCTTCTGGAGCACCTGGGGCCCCCACGACGGCCCTCAAACATAGGGCGACGCAATCTATACATATCCACTGTTCCCTGGCCAGGCCCATCCTGAACACAGCAGCTGTATACGCCACGCCCTCCTGGTTTGGCCAGGAGGGCGTATACACAGCTCCTGGGTTCAGGATGGGCCTGGCCAGGGAGCAGTGGATATGTATAGATTTCGTCCCCCGAAAACAGGCCGCGACTTCCTCCCGGGAGGCTGGGAGCAGCCAGAGAGGCCCCCAATGGGGCCTCGAGGCCACGCCGAGGACGGCCCTGAGAAGGTAGTCGGCAGTCTCGGCCAACCTCGCCTCCAGGGACCAGTCACGGGACGCCCTGCTGCGGCCCCCCGGGGTCGGCCGCCGCGAGCCCTCATGCAGAAGAGGAGATGTTTTCTCCTCCACCGCGCGCTTGAGCCAATCGGCAGCGCCACAAAACTACTGGGAGGCATCCGCATGCAGGCGTAGTGTCGCACTGCACTTGGATGACTCCCTCCCTCCCAAGTTCATGCGGGCGTAGAGGCGCACCGCGTTTCCCTGATGTACACTGCTTGCTTCGCGCTGCTGCTGGCGACCTGGCCGCCCGTGACCTTTTTGAAATCGCCGGAGGCCGTCGGAGGTCGCCGGCCAGAGTTCCCTGGCCAACAAACATCGGTGCCCTTTTGGCGGCCGCTTGGGGCCGAAAAGGGGCACCGGCCGAAAGTTATCACATGGGGCTACAGGCCTGGGCCCAGAGCTCAACGCCGTGCTGCGCAATGCTTCCCGCACCGCACCGACAAGCTCATTTTCGCCCCCTCGCCCAGATGTTCCTGGAGGCCTCTCCAGGAACATTTGCACGATGCAACGCACTGAAAGCAAATGACAAGTCATGCAACACAGTGCAAGCAAAAGATGTCAGCGCGGAGAAACAAATCGCGCCCCAATGCAGGACGCAACGAGCATGTCACGAATTTGTGGCGGCGATGGCTAACATACCCAGGCTCTCATGCCAACGCTACGCTCCCTGACCCGCGCCCCTCTTCTTCGTCAGGGCCCCGCAGCCCGTCCGAAGCCTCGCGAGCGCGCTGGCTCGCTGGGGCAGGGGGGCGCTGATATCGAAAAGTGATGGGCATATCAACGCAACAATTCGTGGCATTAGGTGCCGCAGCGCCGCCGCTGCACAGCAGAGGCCCCCGTTGTCACTGATGTAGGGCGTACTCGACGAACGATGCGGCCACGCAGTATTTACAAAGCCCGGAGGCCGAAGTGGCCCCTGATCCGGGCCATGGCGGGCGCCGAGAACACCTTCGTGAGGCCATCAGCCCGCTGCTCGTTCGACCCGACGTGGTCGAGCTGAAGGGTCTCGCTCCCCACCCGGCTGCGGAGGGCCGACGCCCTGCTGGAAAGCGCCCGCGCCCCCCAGCTGCCCTGGCCCCGGGCCGAACGCAGCGGCGCGGCACTGTCGCCCCACATCTTGGAGAGCGGCAACTTCACCATCATGCTCGTGAGGCTCGCCTCCGCGCCCCCCAGCATGACGACGCCCATGGCCACGGCCGCAATCTCGGCCTCCGCGCAGATCTCGCAACCTGCGCCTGCTTGACGGATCGCCAGTCGATGAGGCCCCCGCCCAGTTACACCACGACGCCCGTCTGGGTGCACTCGGCTTCGAAACTGGCGTCGGCGAAGACGTGCAACTCCAGCTGGCCCCCATCGCCGCGCACCGCCTGGTAGAACAGACCACGGCGGCGCGTGCCGAGAAGGTACCGCATAATGCGCTTGCCAAGGCGCAACGCCCACTGCGGCGCCGTGGTCGCACACGCTGCCACCCGGCTGACTGCGAACGCAATGTCGGGACGGGTGCGGCTCGACAGCCACGGCAGCCCGCCTTCGAGCTTCTGGGCGAGGCGAACGTCGCCGAGTTCGGGCTCTGCCTCAATCTCCTCCCCAAGCGGCTCGATGGACATGGCGCCGCACGCATTGGCGCTCGTCGTCTGCCATCCGCCCAAGAGGTCCTCCACGCATGCGGCCTGGTGGGCCACGAAATCACTGTCCGCCCTCGCCTCAACCTCAAGCCCGAGGTGTCTGATCGCGCCCAGGTGCGCACGGTCGATGAGCGATTAGACCGAGCACGCCCAAGTCGCCATCATCACCTCGTCCACTGCGGTGATCGTCTCACTGCCGCCGGCGAGCAAGAAGTCGTCCACGTAGACCATGACCAGGCCCAACGACCTCTGCTCGCTCTCGGCATTTGTCGGCACGTCCTCCACGATGCCACAGACGGAGGCGTCGCAGCGCGACTGGATCAAGCGGCACATTGTGCCATTAACCTCGAACCTCATATCACGCATCTGCCTGTCCCGTTTCAGGCCCTAGGCTCTAGGGGCGATGCGGAGGCCGTAGATGCCCCTCTTAGCCCCCCAGACCTCGTCGCGCCCAACATGCCCGTAAGGGGAGAGGATCCCTGGCGGGCGCGCCAAAACCTCTCCGGCCTCCTCCGGGAGAGGCGCATTCAGGAAGGCCGTGGACACGTCCAGCGCCTTCAGCGCCCAGCCGCACGAGCTCGCGATCGCAAGTGCGGCTCTGACGCTGAGGATCTCCACGTTGCTCGTGAGGACGACCTCACCTGGCACCTGCCTCTGGAAGTTGCCGCGGGCGACCGCGCGGAACTTCTCGCGCCTGCGCCGGGCTGGATCAGACGCCGCCGGCGCCTTGATGCCAGCAGCCCCCTTCGTAAGGAGCACGTCTTTGGCGTCGTACCTGCAACTTCTCGCCCTCGGCGAGGGTCTCGAAGACCTGCTTCTCCGAGAAAGGAGCGAGCTCTGCCTCCACGGCCAGCTTCCATTCGTCACGCTCGGTGCCCATGGCATTTCGCAGCTCGGCCATCGACGCTGGCTGCGTGCCGCTGTCCTTTATGATCCCGACGAGATCAGGCGCGCCGTCCGAATCCGAATCAGCAGCGGCACCAGCGGCAACTAGGTCAGAGGACGCAGCAAGAATCCGAGGGGGATCGGGCGAGAACAGCGCAGCCTCCGCCGCCGCCGCTGCTCCTGCTCCTCCTGCTCCTCCTGGCCCCTGCTTGCCGCGAAGTCACAACCTCCGAGGGTCACGAGGCTGGTCGGTCGACGGGCCCTGGCGGCGCTGGTGGTCGCACGCGTGCCCACGATGTGATCCGAGGCAGGCGGGGCACGTGATCTTCTTCGGCCCCTCGTCAAGGATGCGGAGGGGGTTCAGGTCCTCAGACTCCTCCTGGTTACCTTGATCCCTCTCTCCCTGCAGGTCGCCCTGCTCGTTGACCTCCTGCTGGGGCCCACCTCCAGGCACGACGTCAACGACGAAGCTCGAAGAGGTCTCGAAATCCCACCTCTCGAGGCCGCGCTGGGCAACCTTGTGGCCAACCAGTGACGCCTCAAACGCGAAGTCGCAGATGCTGAAAAACTGCCGTGGCACAGCCCGAGGCGCGAACGCAAACTGCGGCACCTGCTTGATCCTGCAGGTGACGGGCTGCCCAAACATCGGACAACCAACGGGCTTCCCCTGAGCTTCGCGCCGCTGGAGAGCTGCTGCGTGCACGACCGCTGCTGGCCACAGCTGCTCGCGGTCTGCCGCGTCCATCGCCATGAGCATGGCTCTGCCCCTCTGCTTGATAATGTCGATGCCCCTCTCAGCACGGGGGTTGTTATCGGCCTCGTGCCCTGGGGTCGATGTGGCAGCGACCCCTGGGTGGCGAGCGCTGCGCTCGCCTTCGGGCCCGAGTGGTCCTGCGCCTGGTCAGCGCGGGCGCGGTAGACTACGCGCGCCTGGAACTCGAGCTCCACCTGCGCGATTATCAGGCACAGGGCGGCAAGAACCTCCACCGTGTGCTTGCCAGCGAGGGGGGTGACGTAGTACCGCGTCTGCACGCCCCCCTCCTCGACGGGCCCGTCCGCCGGCATTGCGGCCACCGCTGGCAGCGCCGAAGCCCGCGTGACCATCACCACGGCGTCGTCTGCAGCCAGCGGCTGCCCAGCCGCCGCAGCGGCAGCCTGCCCCCCCCTGGCCTGCACGCCCTTCGCCCGCGCCCGCGGCTGCAAGCGGCGGCCCCCCCGCAGCATTGCGCGCGTGCTGCTCAGCCCCGGCGGCGGCAGCGCGTTCAGAAGCAGTCATGCCCGCGTGGGCGCCGAGGACGAAGCACCGCGCCCTCCTGGGACGGTCTTCTGGCAATGCTCCTGGCCAGAGCCCTGCAGGATGGGGGCCAGATATGTCCGCGGACAGCTGACCTCCCGGCCGCGTCCGCGCATCCAGCCGCCAACGCGCCCTCGTGCGACCTGCCGCCAGGCGGCATTCGTAGCAATCGGAGCGGAAGGAAGGACGTCCGCGCCTCCTGTGCCCCTCCAGGCCCAGGCGCTGCGCAGCGGACACGACGACGTCGAACTGGGCCGCCGAAATCCCAGCGCCAGCGCGCGCGCAGCTGCCGCCTCGTCGCGCGGAGGCGCTGGGCGTCCTCCTCGTAGATGTTCGCCGTGGCACCCTCGAGCTCCAGCTCGATCGATTCCTGCCCCGGCAACCGCGCGCGGGCTCGGCCCCGGCCCCGCTGCAGATCGGGGCCGAGCTCGGCGATGTAGGCGCCGATGGGGGAAAGCGCCTGCAACTCCGTATGGGGAGTGGACGTGCACCGCCTCGCCCGCCCCAAACAACACGCCAGACTGCTGGCCAGTCGCGCGCGCGAGGTCGACGCGCTGGCACGGCACGGGCGGGCGCTGGTTAGGCCAGAGGTGCTGCAACTCAAGCGCGGCACCAGTGTCGGCCAGCAGCCGACGGCGGTCAGAGCCTCCACGGAGCGCGCGTGCCGCGCGCAAGTCCATGCGAATCATGCTGCTGCTGCGGCGGCGGGGCCGCTGCGCGAGCAGGGGCCGCACTCGACCCGGGGGCCTCCGCAGGTTGGCCGCGGCCATCCTGCCAAGGGGGGCCGGCAGCAGCGGCGGCTGCCGAAATCGGGAACAGGCTCGCGGCCACGGCATCCCGAACAACCTGCTGCGGCGCCTCGGCGGTCAGGGCAGTCGCGGGGGCGGCCGATGCCGCCGACGCGCCTCCAGCGGCAGCAGCGGCAGCAAGCTTCGGCCGCGGGCACGCTGCCTTGTCGTGGTCCTTGGACCCGCAGTCGAAGCACATGCCCTCGCCCACCTCGAACTTCCCGCGGTGGCGAGCGCAAGTTACGCCGAACTTGCAGCCCGCGTCGCCGTCGAAGAGACGGCATGCCTCCTCGCCGCTTGTCGCCGCCTTGGCAAGAGGCTTGGCCTTCGCCTAGGCCTTCGCCTTGCCCTTGGCGTCGGGCTTGCCGCCCTTGGCGTCGGGCTTGCCCTGCTCGCCCCCGCCCTTGGCATCCTTCGCCCCCCACGCGGCTGCCAGCGCCTTCGCGCCCCCTCTGGGGCGCGTCACAGAGCTCGCGAGCCTCTGCGGCGAGGTATCGCCAGAACTCGCCCACCTGCTGCTGCGAACAATGGCTGGCGCCTGAGATGCCGTGCTGCATCTCCCAAGCGAACATCCTGCACTGGAAATTCGCGTCGGCCTCGGCCATGCCCTTCACGATTCCGCGCAACGTCGCAAGCTGCATGACGGGATCTAGCGCCGCCATGCCAAGGCGCTGCAATCGCGCGAGCGAGAACTTCCACGAGTTCAGCTCCTGATAGCACTGGGCCAGGGCGGCGGCCTTGTTGTCACGCCCCTCCACTTCCCCCAACACCATCTTGCGACCTCGGAGGGTGCCAGGCCCAGCCTCGACCATGATGCTGAAGAGGAGCTTGGTGACCGTAGTCTGTCGGGTGGCAAGCGCGCCACTTTGCACCTGCTCGGGGACCGAATCCAAGAGCAGCGGGCGTAAGCGCAGCTCGATGCTGAGGCAATGGCGGCCGGCGCCGAACCAATCGGCATTCGGCTTCACGAGCGGACGCTCGAGCGGACCATGGCTGAGGTAATACTCGTATGCCTCCCTCGCAGCGCGCTCCGACCGCTGCCAGAACAAGTCGATGAGGGGACGACACGCCCCAATCCTCATGGCAGCTCGCTGCACCCACTCTTCGAAGGCGTGAGCCTTGTTCACGCCCGCGGCGAGCGTCAACTTCGGCACGTCGCCGTCTTTGAGTTTCGCGAGCACCGTCTCCAAACCAAACGCAGCTCCTCGGTGCTGCTCGTCAGCCCCTGCCGATGCCGAGCCGGCAGGCGGCGGCGGCGGCGGCGGCGGGGGCGCGCCGTTTGCTGCAGGCATCCATCCGCCACGCCCTGGATCGCCACCGAACCCACCTCCACCTCCAGGAGGTCCGCCGAAACCTCCATCATGTTCCCCCCCTCGGGGTGCTCCTGGCAGTCCCTCTGGAGGCCCTCCTGGCCACCCATTGGGTCCAACACCCATCGGAGGCAGCACAGGTGGCAGTCCGCCGGGCTGCAACGCTCGAGGCGCGCCGTGGGCGCCAGCTGCCTCCTCAAAGCCAAGCACCTGACCTCTGCCTGGTGCGACTGCTGCTTGGTCCTCGGCCGACGCGGCAACCACTTGGTCAGCGTCGTGCGCGGGATCACAAAGCCCAGCGACGGGCGGAGCCAGCTCCTCGGCCTCGTCTTACTCGCTGCTCGTCGCCTCGGCGCCCGACGCACGAGTCATCAATGGTGGTGGGGCGCCCTCCGGCTCCGCTCGCCCACCAGCAGGAAGTTTTGCACTAGCTTCTGCTCCGCCGCTCGCCAGCGAAGGCGGCGTGCCTGGGTCTCGGCAGTCCCCATGCACTGGGGTCCAATATCCCTGCGTTGATGCCCCACCCTGGGCTGCGGCTGCTGCTGTCGATGCGCGGTCGGCGAGCCGCTCTGCCTTCAGCTGCTGGCTCCTGCGGCTGAGGCGCTGCACCTCAATGCGAAGCTCTCGCAACTCCGCCAGGTGCAAATCCATAGCAACAGCTGGCGGTCGCTGCTGGTCCTGGCTCATGTCGGGCGCGTCCGCCCTGCCAGTACTCTCCCAAACTGTGGCCGGCGGCTGGTCTGGAAGCTGCGGCTGAGCAGGCACAAGCATCACCGCGCCCGCCGCCCACGTCCGGCGCGCTCCCGCGGCTGCGTCCACCGCCAGGCGCTGCATCCCAGTGGCTGCGGTGCCGAGGGTGGCACCCACTGCCTGGCCAGCGATCTGCGCGCCGAATGCCAGGCTGCGGCCAAGCTGCCCTGCGAGGCCGCTCGACCAGGCGGCCTGCCGGCGACCGTACGCGATGTCGCGGTCGGCGAAGCAGGCGAAGCAGACTGCATGCCCCTGCCAAGGCTGCATGCAGTGGCTGTGGACGTCGGCGAGTCAAACATCGCACACCACCGACAGGCCCACGATGACGTCCGAGCGCGCCCTGCACCGCGCCCGCATCAGCGCAGCCGGCGGCGGCAGCGGCGCCGCAGGGAATCCATGGGCGAGCGGAGCTCCAAGCGCAGGGTGTTAGAATCCCTCGCTTGGGCTCATTGAAAGGGCTCTACTGTCCTCCGGCGTCATCTTCACTGATTTCCGACTCTGGGTCGGCTTCTGGAGCCCCTGGGGCCGTGCGACGGCCCTCAAGGAGGCCACAACTTCCTCCCGGGAGGCTGGGAGCAGCCAGAGAGGCCCCCAATGGGGCCTCGGGGCCACGCCGAGGACGGCCCTGAGAAGGTAGTCGGCAGTCTCGGCCAACCTCACCTCCAGGGACCAGTGACGGGACGCCCTGCTGTGGCCTCCCCGGGAGGGTCGGCCGCCGCGAGCCCCCATGCGGGAAGAGGGGATGTTTTTTCCTCCACCGCGCACTTGAGCCAATCGGCAGTGCCACAAAACTACTGGGAGGCATCCGCATGCAGGCGTAGTGTCGCACTGCATTTGGATGACCTCCCTCCCTCCCATGTTCATGCGGGCGTAGAGGCGCACCGCATTCCCCTGAGAGGCGCAAGCATGCACGCATGTACAATACTTGCTTCGCGCTGCTGCTGGCGACCCGGCCGCCGGTGACCTTTTTGAGGTCGCCGGAGGCCGTCGGAGGTCACCAGCCAGAGTTCCCTGGCCAACAAACATCGGTGCCCTTTTGGCGGCCGCTTGGGGCCGGAAAAGGGCACCTGCTAAAAGTTATCACATGGGGCTACGGGCCTGGGCCCAGAGCTCAATGTCGTGCTTTGCAATGCTTCCCGCACCGCACCACACGAAACGGAGTTAAAACTGTTAAGCTCATTTTCGGCCCCTCGCCCAGATGTTCCTAGAGGCCTCTCCAGGAACATTTGCAACTGATGCAACGCACTGCAAGAAAATGACAAGTCATGCAACACAGTGGAAGCAAATGATGTCAGCACTGAGAAAAAGATCGCACCCCAATGCAAGACGCATTGAACATGTCACGAATTTCCTGGCGGCGATGGCTAACATACTCAAGCTCTCATGCCAACGCTACGCTCCCTGACCCACGCGCAGTGACCAGAGTTTCACATATGCAACGGTGGGTCTTTCGACAGCGCCGCCAGGAGATGGCTCACCTCCGCGGAACTGTACATGTGTCCTTTTCTCGGCATCCCGCCGCATGAAGGATCGCGGCACTGCGGCCGAGAGTTAGGTCGTCGCTCGGGAAAAATGCCGCTGGCATGCCAGCGGGGCGAGAGCCTCAGGAGGAAAGCCAGCCCTTTAACGCAGAAGTGGTTGTCTGCCCGCAGGTTGGCCACTCAGTGGCTGCGAGCGGATGGCGCGGAGTCGCCGCCGCAGATCGCGCGGAGAGCCAGTGCGGTGAGACTGATCACTGAATATGGGGATGTGCGGGACGGCTTGGACTAGGCGGGGGACGGCGGGTTCCGACTGAGGTCTGTTTCGGAGTTTTTGGAGGAGCTGAGCAACCCCGCTTCCTGCGCCCAGGTCTGCAAGTGTATCCAGGGCCACATGCTTGCGCGCGCGGCTTCGGACGCCTCCGCCGCCGCGCAAAGCTGGAGAGGGTGCTCGGATCTTGCCCTCGCCAATGGGCCAATTTGGCCCACCGTTCTTCTAAGGGTCCGAAAGGGGGCTCAGTCGGCTGACCTCGACCATGGGATTC